GTTCACCATTTTTGCTCATTTCACCGAGGGCCTCACGACCCATGGTGAGTTCTCTTCCTGTATTGTCTCTTCCCAGTTTCGCATTCATGTCACGCATCAGGATTTTGATATCGCTCTTTGGGACGTTGTCCATTACTGTTTGTTGACTGTAGAAATCCTTCTTCTCTTGTTCTGAGACGTTTGTAGGCGCAGAGCATTGAATGATTGTAACCTTTTTTCCTTTTAAGTTGAACCTGGCTGTCATTATCCTGGAGGAGATTGGTTCCCACTGCATGAGAGCTTTAGCCGCTGTTGGTGACATCATGATGGCTACTCCCTCGGTGTGCTCGTGATCGTCCTCTGGGTGACCGGAGTAGATTATTGTCTCCCCAGTTGGTAGTTGGCACCTTCCGCATCCGTTCAATCTGCTCTCGCAGATTCCCAACACTTCTATTTTATATATCCTCATTTCTGCGGCTACCTGAGCAGCCTTTCCAGTTTCGTACATTGTACGAATATTCCACGTCCCCATCCTTATTTTTGCTTTCATCGGAAGAAGGCACATCGGCTGACTGGCTTCCCGAAGGCTTTCACCAGCCTGCGTCATTTCACTTCCCCGATTCCAGCGCAAAATAAGGTTATTGTTTGTGCTTTTAGAATTTTGAATATATTTGTGCGTTGAAGTTTTTAGTAGCAATTTGATTAAGTTTTGGGGGTGGAGTTGCTAGCACCACGCCCCAACCCTCCCTCTTTATCCAGGCTTGGGATCGGCCAGAATACTAGTGACCTAGGAATCTAGGCGAGGTTTCATTGCGTTCTTAATTTTAATAAATCAGAATCATTCAGATGTGCTGAAGACATGTAACAGTTGAAAAATCGAAGAAATTAATTTTTTAAAAGAATAGTTACTGAAAAAAGAATATTCTTATCGATAGCCTGCTCTTCATCAAGCTGTACAGTTATATATATATTCCTTTGCACACAGAGGACCGGTTGTTTTAGGCGAATCGTAATAGCCACTGTTGTCTGGGGTATTCTCTGCCTGGATACTTTTGACGATCTGTCTGGTACTCGATATATGACGCGGAAGGATTCTTCAATGCAAGTCCGCTTTGTGGCCGGTCACTTTGGACCAGATGGTTTAGTATCGAGCTGTTGATGGTATTCACTAAACCTTTGTTTAGCCTCACTGATAGGCGTTCTCCAACAAGCACGGAAAATCAAGTTCTTAGAGCAACGGCCAATATAACGAGTTTATTAATCATATCTCCTGGTGACCTGGAGAAATGATTAATAAACTCGTGGAGAAATCTAAAAGCTCACTTCAAATTGAAGTATGCGCTGAAGATGTCGCCTAGTAGGGCGATGAAAGCTTCGCAAATTAACTATCCAGCTCAGAGAACACAACCACATCAAAACTTTCGGATTGTTTCAGTTTGTTCACTTAAAAGATATTCATTGATAAGACGTTTCTATTAACTTTATCGATGCTTCTCATCAGGAAGTAAGCAGTGAAACAAACAAGCAGACAAACAACGCAAACATGCACACACACACACAGACAAACGAAAAATAGCGGATTGTTTAAATTTTTGATTAAGAAAATGATCTTGTTAAATGAACCATTGAACAAAAAGACTAAACTAGCTGCTCATAATCACAATCATAGATTATTATCAGTAATTTAAAATTTTTATGAGCATAATCTATGTCTAAGAGAAATAAAGATGCTTTTTTTGTAAAGCAGAAGCGCGGGTGTATGAATGTTGTCTTTGCAGACTTATTTGTGTACCTGCGTGTGTGGTGAAGCAAAAGGAGCAAAGAATATGAGACAAAAAAAGAGGGAAATGATGAAAAAAAGTGGATTTCTAGCTGAACTATAAATAAATACAATAATTTACTAATGATGCATATTGTAACAGTATTGCCAATGATATTTTGATTGGTCAAACTCTTGAGAAAGATGCAATTGTCACAGTAAGAGATTTTAACGACAGTTCTAGTCATTATTTCTAAGTATATTTATCGGCGTATTTTATACTTGTTCCTTGAGTTCCCGCTAGAACACAGGACTACAGTGCCGCATCTCCATTCCACTCAATACCCTGACATCTTTGTTTTTCTTAACTAGCTCCACAACAGTTCAAAAGTTTTCATTTCGTTTTCATATAATTTACTCCATGTTCATGGTTGAATGACGAGCTGGGATTCCACTCAAAGTTCTCCTCAGTGTATGTTCAATGCATCTGAATTTCCTTCAGCACATTTTATGGGTGAAGGTTCTTGTCTGATTCGTTGACAAAGTTCTTTTTTGCTAAGTATATTACTAGAAGTTGATATTTAAAAAGAAATATAACTCGTGGGTAGCTTTTACGTGTATTGATCACCGACAAAACTCTCTACTTATGTGTCATGTCTATGTGGAATTGTTCGACTGAGGATAATGCTTTATCGTGATACAAATTTTAGTTGCGATAGTCAAGTGGCATAACAGTCTACTGAAAAACATTGTTTCTTTCCTAATAATTATGACTAATAACCAGACAGTCATGTAACTTGTTATTTACGCCTATTTAAACGCCCACTACTCAGGGTTAACCACATTTATGAGTCATCATGTTCTTTCTATAGATTTATGTGAATACATCTCAGGCTGAATTTCATTTTTTTTTAATAATTTTGATATGATTACTATTATTCCCTTGGGTTCTGAGTGGAACATACAAATTGAACAATGCATCTCCACTTTCTGCTATTTTCTGCTATCCACTTCCGCTGGGCTCCCAATTGCCCATAATCTCTTGTCTCCTCCTTCGCCTCCTTCAAAAACCATCTCCTCAATGCCACTCTCTGACCTAGACCCCACTCGTCGTTTCCCATACAGGTTCCACTCGAGGGCTAACCTGGCGTACGATATTATTAGACGGTTTCATCTCCTTAGCATGTGCCCAAACCATCTCCATAGGTTCTTAATCGGTTCGTTCAATTAGCAGAGTTCCTGGCTGCTAATTTGGCAAGGCCCGGCTTCTGATCTTCAGTATGCAGCCAGTCAAGGCAGCCAAGAGTGAAAGTTCGCAGTGGCCTGTAGGAAATGCTGTTCATATCGCGTATGGCAAGATCTGACTGACTTCACATTTGTGTTGGAAATCCAAATATTGTTCTTCATGCTGGCTGAGTGCAGTAGATTTTTAAACCTATTTCAGAGTGATGACGGTCTATGTTGCCTTTCCGATTCTGGCTTACTTTGAAATCTTCATCCATGTCAAATACCTGTAGTCAAAACAATTATGGCTGCCTAGATAAGTGAAGGAAGTAAGCTCTTTTAGATTTCTTTCGTTGATGGTGATTGGTGCTGGTTGTTGTTGTCGTCGCGGTTCGTCGGTTATCTTCATCACCTCCGTCTCCTTTTTGTTGACGTGCGATCTTGCCTTCTCAGGCTGCTGCTTAAGGCAGTTTGTTGGTTTTCGTCCGTGAGCCTTTGGGTTTGTGTAACATTAATGTGAAATCCAGATCTTCTAGAGTCTTCCTATCGGTCCAACATATTCCTGTCTTCTCGCTCCCATGCACAGTCGACACATAATCCAGTTAACCATAATTAAGAATATCATGGGTGATCATAGATAGGGAGCCATGTCCTACTCCTGTTTTCACGTCGAACGCCTTGCTGAGTTTTCCGTTGTGGATCACCTGGCACGTGGCACTGTCATATAACCAGCTGTTGAATGAGGTTGATAAAGACTTGGGTAGTTCACGTTGTAGTGTTGAAGTAGTTTCCAAATTACATTGCAGTCAACGCTGTCGAAGGCATTGTCAAAGTCAAGGGATTTGAGGCAGAGATCTGACTGCATCTTTGTGCTTTATCCGGTGATCATGATGATGAGGAGAGTTGCAGTTGGAACAGCATATTATTTACCTTTCATGAATTTAGCTTGTTCCAGCCGTACTTCTGAATCCAGAGGATCTTTTATTCTCTCTAGGACGACACGACTAATTATTTTACTTGGCGTGAACAAGAACATAATTCCGTGCCAGTTCTTGTAGAGAGGCTTAAGTTGCTCTTCCTTCGTAGTTTGTGACAAGGTAGCCTTTCTTCTAATCACTAGGCACCTTTCTTTCCTTCCTTCCTTCTAAACCTCTCGGAATAATGGCGTGAGCTCATCTACCGCAGTCTCCGGGTCCGTTTTCAGTGCTTCAGGGGGATTTCCGTTTAGTTCTACTGCCTTCTTGACTGGCATTCAGTAGCTTGATTGCATTCAACGTTTCCGCTTCTGTTGGAGAACTGGTGGTCACTGGCACATTTGTACGTGCCCTTGGCGGTATTCGTGGATGAGTTGAAGGTGATGGCCGATTCAAGAGACTTTTGAAGTGATTAGCCACTTTTTAAATTTATTTCTCCTCTTTGATAATTAAGTTCCTCCAATTAACTGTTATTCTTTTCACCTACATTGATCTTTTCGCGAATAGAGATCTGGTTATTTGATATGATGCCGTGAGATCTCTTTCACCTGTCACCTGCCTGCTCTGCTTCAGCTGCCACTCAGTGTGTCGCAGAATTGTCTTTTGTCTTTCTTAGCACTGTTCTCCACCTCTTTATTCAGTGCAGTATACATTGAACTCAGCTTCTCCTTCTGTTGTGCATCTTTGCATTGAATCATCTTCTCTTTCACCATCCTCCTCTCTTCTTTCCTACTAGCTTCCAGGTATCCGTTGAGAGTCATTCTTTGTCTTGCCTCTTCTTTCTTCCTAGAGAAGTTGTAAACGTTTCCTTGAAACTCAACTTCAGAGAGTTCCAATGTTCTTTCACACAGGTCTCCTCAGCGGTGTCACGTAGTGTCTCCGGTTTCACTCTGATATATAATTATAAGCATTATTAAATTTGGAATATAATGTGTACACTATATATAGAATTCACTGTAAGCCTGTGTCGAATGAACGAAATTTGAGCCTATAATTGTTTTATTTATTGTTTCCAAAATGTGTCTTTGAAAATATGTTTTATTCTTTCCATTATCAATTTTGAGGTCAAGACAATCAATGAGAATAAGGGGTTAATTAATGCTTCTATTTGTTCTCAATCACCTTGTATCAAACGAAAGCATCAGAATAGATCATGTCTACAGGATGTTACATTAAAAGAAACAAAGTGAGCAACTATACTCTTTTCTTTTTTTTTCAATGACTTCATATCAAACACAATTATAGAATCAATGTTTGTTTTTTGTTGTTGTTTTCTAATTTTGTATTCGAATTCGACTTATACAAAATTAGTTAGTCATTTTCAATCTTAGGGAACAAAACAATTCACACTGATCTATAGATCAATGTAAGCTGTTTGTACTCTGTTTTTCGCCTGAGGGCAAAGTCAATTGCAGTAAACTGTTTTCCTCAGGTGACCGGTAAGCCAGTTATGCTATCTCTCCACACTGGGGAGGGAGGATTGGAAAAAGTTGGCCCTACATTGATCCTTAGCCGGTGGCAACACCTTCATACGGAGGCAACACTAAAAACTAATTTAGTTTATTCAAGTGTTGGTTTTTAGGGATCTGATTTGATTGGTTACAGGATTTTATAGCATGAGCTGACATCGGTCAGAGAACCACTAAAAACCTGGTCGTACTAGACAGCCAGGTTTTCCGGTATTAGACAACCACTCCACTGCCAGCGTTCGAACCCAAAACCTTCTGGTTACAAGGCCAGCTCGTAGACCACTAAACCATTGGGAGCCAATCCAATGGCCATCCGTGAATTTCAATCTCTGCCCGTTCAGAATATAGTTATACTAGTAGCTAATGTCACTGTTGGCGAGTATTTGTCCTCATACCCAACTTCCTCTGCCTGCAGCCAGAAAGTATTATATAGGGGCAAGAACGTTTATATTAATGAATGTTAGCTAATTAACTAATGATTAGGTACATGAAAACTGTTAACGTGTGAGGAATATCAAGATTTACTTTAGAATTTGCAAATTCATGATTTGTCAAACATTTAGCCTCCAAATATTATAAGCTGCACCGAAATGACCTTGACTTCATTTATCAAGATGTCTTAATTGAGCAAAATTTTCCCAGTGGTTTGTCTACGTTTCTTAAAAGTTTAATTCGTTTGCGTGAACGGAAGTGAATTTCAAAACTTTGTGAAGTATAATGAAATTGATCCAGTTAACTGATCTCTGCTTTCAGACTTATCTGAGTCATGTATATCGATTGTGAGGAATAAACAGTGTAGGCAAATTAAATCCTACAAACTTTCTAACACTATCGCACACTAGAAAACTAGATAGTACCTCAGTAGTTTCTTTTTTATCTAGGACGATTTCAGCCAAGCTGAAAGGTTAAGACTACCTAGCTGGCGACTTTAAGACGCTAAAAACCATTTTTTCCTCCACGTTCCCCAGTGGAACATAGGGCTTCAAGCTAGTGGCTTGAAGTTTCTGTAGCAGTGTTTATTTTACAGGATGGGGTTGCTAGTCTCACGCCCAACCTTTCCTCTTCACCAGCAGTATTTCTGGCTTAGCGAGGTAAAGGAGTGCGTCGGCCGAAGATCGAACTCCAGACCATGTGCATGGTCGGCGAGCTTACTAACCGCTATGCCACAGATGCACAAACTTATCCCTAGCGCATATAAATTCACTCGTTGCGATCTGTGCAATGCACTAACTTTCATTAATCCCTGAGTAACTATTATCTGCCTCGTAAATTTCCTTTTATTATTGCGGTGTTCTACTGTGAAAATTCAACTCGGTTTAGAATTAGAAGTTTTTTCACACCAGTATATATGGGAACACCCAGGTATTCTCTGTCTTAACTGTCTTTCAAATTACGTTACCGTTGATGAATAAGTTTTGTATTCAGAGACATCACTGGCCATTTTCTGTTATCTATAACAAAATTCATAACCTTAAGCACACAATAAAGCCTGACCTTTAAACTGAGTTCCTTACACTAACATTAGTTAATTGATAAAGTCTGTTATTCAATAGTAGGATGTTGTCGTGACTGCACAGAAGCTTATGTCTCCTCTCCACGTGATCTGAATTTTACCTTTGGAGGCTGAAGTCATTACTCGCCTCCCATTCGGGTTCTAGTCAAGGGCCTGGGATGTAATGTTACTTAAAGGCCTCCTCCAACCCATCTTTCTTTCTTTCTATACATTTAAGGGTAGTGGAGTCTCAACAGACTCGCTGCCAAAGTTCCTTTCCAGCCGGTCATCTTGTCCACCGTATTAAATGAAGGCATCTGTTGATGAAGTCTATTGGAAATACTTCTCATGGAGCGATTAATTTCTGAATTTCATGGGAGGACTGACTTGACAATATTGTTTGAAGCCTGTATCTTGTTCTTTCTGCTAGATGCTGTGGATCTACACACAGTTTCCTTTCTTTCAAGTAAATTACATTTAAATTTGTTACAGCTGAAAAACCAAAACTGCAAAAGAAAGGAAAGAATTGGGTTGACGATGTTTCATAAGTACCATATAAATCTGGTAATAATGTTATTAAACACAGAGATTTTCATCTTGATTTCGTGAGACGGTTTCTTTACGACTATTGACAGGCGCTTTACTTACAAGGTGATCAAATTAGACAATAAAATAAATGATTTCGTTTTTTTAAATATTAAAAATTGCGCCTTCAGTTTTAGCGTATTTGTACCGCTTGTTAGTTGGTTTAAACAAATGTACTTTGCTGACGGTCATTATTCAACTTTGTTTTTTTAATGTAATAGTAAAATTCGTCAAGAATATGGTTTAAAACCAATAAATAAGAATAAAATATCATCACCAGCCAAACGACTTCAATCTGTCGATCAAAAAGTAAGTAGGTTTTAATATTCATTTATTACTTTCAATGCATAATAATTAATTCTGTAATCAAATATACAATTACACTACAGAGTAACTACTGTTCAAGATTTTATTTTAAACTGTCTGTCTGTCTGCTTATCTATCTGTGACTGTTCCAATGAAACATTAACCATCCAAGCTGATGGAATGTAAATAATGTTCAGATAAGTACAATAAGAAACAATTTGATTCATCCAACAATGCATTCTGAAACACTATCTTCCCTGACGGCCAGTGTTAGCTAAAATAGGACCAGACTGGAAAAGAATTGGATGAAATTGTGCCATCAGTCGATGAACTCTTCAATTTTTTCGTTGAACCACATATGGTGTAGAATGCTTGGTTGGGGTCTTTGACATATTACGAATTAATGCTTAGGAGCTGCTGGCGATTTGACTGTCAGTCAGTGCCAGTGGTCACAGATTTATTCATTTGGTGTCATTATCCAAATTCTGTAAATCCTCAGCAATCTCCACCGAGCTGTTCTTTCTCCTGTACTTTTTGGTCTATTACGATTTCATGAGATCTTCTTTCTCTACTTTTTAATGTTCTTTTGTGAAGTGTGACCACTTTGATCACTGTTCTTTTATGTAAAGTTCTACGTAGATAATTCAGCGCAGTCTAGAACAGACATCGTTACTATTCAAACACGAGGAGAATGAATAAGCCGTCTTACAGTATCTAAAAACAGGAAGTGAGTTCACTAAGCCTGTTCCCCCTGATAGACTACTTAACTAGGAAATGTGCTTCTGTATTGTTTAGCATGTACTGAATAATTAATTATATCACTATAGTGATTCCTGTGAGAAGTATGAAGGTGTTTAGGTTCGTATCGTGATTCTCTTGTGCATTTAACTGTGATAAATAGGTTTTTTCAATAAGAATTCAGTCTGATTGAAAAATTATTTTGCCATTGACTTGGTAGCCAATAGCATTATTGATAAGTTATGTAATCATGAAGACTCTGTGCTGAAATAATACCACTCGCTAGAACTTAATAATAACAGTTTTATTCTGGATAAAATGTATACCCATAGTAGAGGATTGCCATCGTATTTTGTTGCACGAAACGAAGGATTAGATGCATGACACCGGTTAATGCCTAATCTCCAGTCAAGGTATCCATTACAGTTCTGCAGGAGGTCAATCGCGAACCTGAATAGCTCAGTGGGGACGTATCTGACTGCATCACTGAATGAACCAGGGTTTGAAGTTCACAAGGGACATGAGTTCTTTTAGTGGTTGCAGATACACCTTACTGATAACAAGCACTAAACCTAGGTCCCAAGGCTTCGTGCCGATTGTCTACGACCATATAAAAAACATTTACTTGTCGTGGTCGATGTTTAAGTAGGGCAATAATCCACAATACATTTTGTGACGTAATGCTATTCTATGTGAATGCACAGAAATAGGTTGAAAGCCAATTAAAAATGTCAGTGAGTGTTTTTTTTCTATCTAAGAACATAAATGAATAATTCAAACAATAAGTAATGCGCAAAATGTTAATAGACAGTTGAAGGCAGTCGGCGGGAGGCCTTGGACCTAGGTTTCGTGCCGGTAGGCACTCACTCAACAGTCAGTCAGCAAGGCGTATCTGCAATCAAAACCTTGTCATCCAGTGCTGCAGTGAGAGACCTCATCACTGAGTTATCTGGGTTCGCGGTTGACATCCTGTAGAACTGTATCAGATACTTTGATTCGACACTAACTAGTGTCATGTGTCCAGTCCTTTTGTTTACTGCAGACTGAATTCCTTCAGTTAAATTTTCAATGTGGCCACCATGCCACTAGGTGGCTTGCCATCACAGTGCACTGTGAATTGTTGCTATTAGATGGTTGCAGATACACGTTGATGACTGGTGACTGTTAACTGACACGAAATCTAGGTTCAAGGCTTCCTGCCGATTGACTCCAGTCATATAATACCAACAATACTGAAAGCACCGTGAAGGAAAGATACCCAGTTTTATGGTGGCCACACTGCAAAGTTGACTAATAGAATTCAGTCTGCAGTGAACGAAAGGACTAAACGCATAACACTAGTTAGTGTCCAATCAAAAACGCTGAAAATTTCATGCATTGTACTGGATGAAAATTGAGCTATCCTAGTAATTTCACTCATTTACCTCGATAAGCCAGTAGTAAGATGGGTAAAGAGGGAAGGTTGGGTGTGTCAGGCTAGCAACCCCACCTTCCGTAAGAATAAACACCACTACTACCGAAACTTCAAAGCTTTAGCTAGGAACTTAAAGGAATAAAAACGTAATTTCAGCAGACTGTCATACTTACTGTTATTATCTTCACTATTAACCTTGAACCAGGAGAAATCAAATACCTTAGAGGACACAGGATATACTTGGAAAATGTGGAAGGTCTCTTCTTTTTTGTAAAATAACTCATCTCTTTTTATCATAAACACACAAGCTCTGCTGAAAAATCTGAAATGTTGTGCAGTCATAATTGATCAAATATTTGGTGGAGTAGAAATGTATGCCTACACTCATCTGGACATCACAACTTTTTGGCAATGCCTCCATCTTCGGCGTTCCCCAGTGCAAAACACAAAGCTGTTTTACACGGTCATCACAGCTATAAGTTCAGTGGATTATTAAACTCTGTTGTTCTGAAAATAGTAGAAATATGACTGAAAGGAAAGTGCATTCAAAGAGCATAGAAATAACTTTAATGAAAACAAAACATGTGTAGTTCAACGATGAGTCTCTTTTTGGCAGCTAATTCATTCACTTAGCTGTACAATCGCAATTATACGTACTTATTTTTGTATGTGTCTGTGTACATTGGGTTTGTCTAACAAGAATGAAGATAAGTTGGGAAAATCGTTGTCAAAACATTCCAAAAATGTGATGAGCAATCAATACTGTAACTAGGGGTGGTGATGAAGAATGGAAAGATGTGTTGTCAAGAAACATATTTATTAACACATAAAAGGAAGTCGAATTAGTATGATACAGTTACACAATAAGACGAGTAGTTTAATAAGTGAGTTGTGATTAGGATGCACATAGAAACAAAGGAAAATATGGAATTATGTTAGAGTTCTAAAGAAATACAAGTCTTATAAGCAGTTAGAGAAAAACAAGCACACAAACACCAAGTCACAGTAGAAGACAACACGGTTGTTTCCATGATAGTAGAAGTGGTTGGATGATTTTCTTTTCTATACACAAGTCTGGTTCCTCCAAATGGGTTGGAGTTAGTTACACTTTTGATTGCTCATCACATTTTTGGAATGTCTTAACAACAATAATTCTAACTTATCTTAATTCTTGTCACACGAACCCAATGTACACACACACATACAAAAATAAATACAAATAACTGCGATTGTACAGCTAAGTGAATGAATTCGCTGCCGAAAACAGACTCTTTGCTGAACTACGCTTGTTCTATTTTCATTGATGTCTGGATGGCGATTATTCAGAAATGTTCGACCGTTACTTCTTTCGTTACTTCGACTAAGTGTATATGTGAACCTTTATAATACAACACATGAAAACTGAACATGTACCAAAATGCCAACGTCTCAAGGGAACAAACGCTTACAACAGTGTCATTGCCAAGCTTCTCATCAATACAGGTAATGAGGTGGAAATTGCAAAATCCTGTAGTATTAGTAGTAAACAAAATAGCTTACTTCTCTTCAGGTTTGCTGGAGCAAACTTTCAAACGTCTGAAACCCGATTTATATGTTCAAAAAGAAACAGTTATCAATCTTTCCTTGTCCCTGTCTCTGTTTCATTTGATTCCGCAATCTTTGACTTTAACCTCTTGTCTTTATTGCATAACTCCTTTACCATTATATACATACAAAGAATTTTTATTTAAACTTGAACTCTCTGAGTAGGTATGTTAAAATTGTTTCTGTACGTAAACTTAGCAATATCTTTAAACTGTAAGCAGCTGATGAGAAGCCGACGAAATAAATGATGCTACCATCATCTTATTCTGCATAAACCTCTGTTGTTTTTGTTTTATTCAAATAAAAGGTGTTCTGATTCCCTCTGCACAAGATTAAGCAATAGAAACTACGTACAAGTAGGCTATTGACATTGCTACACTTATGATACAATAACATATTGATTTTTATGGTATGTAGTGTAACCAATCATAGAAAAGGCTATTTATATTCGCAATTGCTATTGGCTGCTTAGTTATTTTTAGAAAGAATTCACCTTAACCATCTCTTCCGGCAGAGGACATAAGTTATTGTAAATCAAACTTGCCACGTTTTCGTCTCAGTATGCTTATCATTAGGTATAATGGAGGCGGTCGATTCTGACCTGAATCCCTTCAGGTAGTTGATTTTGTACTATCTGTCTAGAAGAATTCTGTAATCTTAAGAGATGTTGTGTTTGGCTGTCTCAAAGATGTTGTATCAACATTTTTTTGTACACATGAAATATCTAATGTAGAATTTGCGTGGAAATAATTCTCGATAGTTTTTGTTGTCAACCTTGATCTTTTATCAATATAATTTGATTTATTTGGATTTTGTTCTACCCATCTTGAAATTATGGATGGATTATATATACAATTCGTTGAACAAGATTGAAATAGCTAAAAAATCCTTTTGTCAATTTGTCACAATTTGATGTTCCCGCCAAGCTAGCGACACCGAAATTCAAATAAATATATTTGTAGACATTTTAAAATGTTACCAAGGAATCGATTTGCTTCAAATTTTTATCACGGATTGATATCATTTAGAGAACCAACCATTGAAAACCAGCACTCAAGTACTGGACAGCTGTTTCGTTAGCCTAATTTGGAACTCATTGTCAGTACGTACACACCCCGCTGCCAGAGTTCGAACCCACAGCCCTCCGGTAACGAGTCAAGCTAGCTTGTAGATCATTAAGCTACTGGGACCAAACTCAAAGACCAGCCAATGAATACTAACTTCTACCTGACCATTGAGAGTGGAAGACATCAAAAGCCTGTCTAGCTGTCTTTGATCATAGGTGCCTACGTCCAATCTCCCGTGTGAAGTGGTATAATAAGGTGAGCAATATTGAGGTTAGGCGACGACTTCTAGGGAAGGAGGGGGAATCAATCGACGAGGCTGTGAAATTACATCGACTGAGATGGTTAGGACATGTGCTACGTATGCCTAGTCATCGCCTTCCTCGACGGGCAATGTTAGCTGATATACGGCCAGGCTGGAAAAGAGCTAGCGGCGGTCAAACGAAAACATGGCACCAGTCAATGAAATCTACAACAGTTAGTCTAAGCCACGTAGGAAGGTGTAGACTGCCGGACTTGTTGGGGTCCTCAGGACGGTAAAAACCAATGGTTGGAAACAATTGGTGACATGGCTCAAAATCGTTCTCAATGACTGGCGCAGATGCATCCACTCCTTGTGACTCATGATTTCCAATGAAACTGTTTTGTTCTTCGTTATTACTATTCCTTTGTCTCACACCTGTGCTTACTGTCTATATTATGCATTTCTCATACTTTCTTCTCTTGCTTTGTGTGCCACATGGAGTGTGGCAACTTGAACTGCTGCACATCAGTGCAAAGTTCTATGTCGAAAACAGACAGACAGACTAACTTCTGCCAATTCGTGATTTCAGCGTGACTGGCGCCAGCCAGTGTGTTATCGTTGGCGAGTTTTTGTCCCGGATGGCCCCCAATAACCACCACGGAACAGCTGTCCTGCACTTGGGTGCTGATTTTCAATGATTCTCTGTCTGATATCAATCCGTAAACAAAACTTTATTAGAATACATTCTCCTAATGATGGAGTATAAAATAATTGAGCGTTCCAATCTCTTCAGGTAAGAAACGTCTTTATTGACTAACTTCCTTTAACCACAATATCTTAATGTCTTCTCGTTTGTTCATACGAAATTATAGAATGAAAAAATTGTTCGAAATTCAATAATACGCCTATTGAGAACATTGAATTATGATAGTCTGGAGAGAATAATTCAAGCGGCTGAGAAACGTTTACTACGTTTATCCGGTTTAACATACAATCTTCAACTGCAATCATTTATCAACGGTGAGACTGGTGAAGATAATGCCGATGATGGTGAATGGACACCGAATGGAACATATGATTGTTCAAATTATATAAATGGAGCAAAATGAACACACACACAAAAAAAACGGAAGTGTCACATCAATAATGGCGGTTATTTTCAAATTAGGCGGGATATTAATTGAACTTTGATCATCATCATCATCAACATTATCATTATTTTGTTTTTCTAAATGCAATTTATTTCTAACTTCATTTCTTTTCAATTTTTCACAAACTTAATCATTAATCAATTCTTTTTTTTTAATGTACAAAATTACTTTGTTTAGTAAAAGGAAAAGATGGAAGGCTATAGGCCTTCACATAAAGTTGGTTATATCTCAGACATAATTTCTAATTACTAATGTGAATCTATTCAATTATCATCATTCCAGTGATTTATTTCTGTGGATAATGCCACACCTTAACTGTGATTGGTATTAACCCATGTGTTTTTCTTGCCTTGCTTATCGTTGGTAAATTATCAGACTGAAAAATATTTATAGTATTTCCTTGTTATTATTGTTTTTTTTTACTTAGACCTATGCGCTGTTGTTTACTTTTTACCATTTTTTCGATAATAAATGACATTTTTTCAAAACAGAACTATAAAAAACGATATATTATTCATATTTATTGAATGAAAATAGCTGAATATACATATGCATTGTCTGAAATAGTTGGATAAATTGTAGTTATTCAATGGTTGGTGGAATCCGCCACAAAGCCTTGCACCTAGGTTTCGCGCTTATCGGCACTCGTCAGCAGGGCGTGTCTGCGATCTTGAAGGAACTTTCGTCCCTTCTGAGATTCGAACACGTGTCATCCAGTGCCGTGGTGAGAGACCTCACCACTGAGTTTTCTGGGCTCGCGGTTGACCTCCTGAAGGACTGTAATGGATACTTTGATTGGACACTAGTAACTAGTGATATGCATATCTAGTCCTTCATTGACTGCAGACCATCACGTGACACTCAGAATTGTTGTTAATGTATGGCTGAAGTCAACTGGCAAGAAGCCTTCCAACCAGATTTCGTGTTTGTCGGCAGTTACCAGTCATCAGCGTGTATCTGCAACCATCTAATAACAACAATTCATAGTGCGCCGTGATGGTAAGCCAGCTACATGGTGGCATGGTGGTCTACATTGCATATTCGACTGATAGAATTCAGTCTGCAGTAAACAAAAGGACTAGACACATGACACTAGTTATTGTCCAATCAAATTACAGTCTGATAAAGCCAATCATGAATAAAGTTTACTGTTATTGTGATTTGAAGGATGATACCTTGTCATATTTTGAAAACATAAACAAAATAAGGAAACAGGAAAAGAATTTATCTGGTAGTTTTTAGTACTGAGCACATGACAGTGATTACATGTCAGCAACGACTAATCAATGTTGTAAACATTACAGTTCTACTTCAGTGGTTGGCTCGAATAGCTTAGTAGTTACATCTTGGAATGTGGCACTGGACAATGTGAGGCTGAATCTTCAGGAAGACGTTTTTATCTTTGGAGTGATGGATGCGCCATGCTGATAAATATCGATGAGCCTTCCTGCCGATCGATTCTAACCATTTATTGTGGCGAACGTTTGTTATCTACCACAGGGAAACCCTATCTATATTTTCGCTTAGGATGAGCTGAATTTAATGAGATCAGCTTGACGATGTTAACGGGCTTTGAAATTTTCATTATTCGTAATATTTTCATCAGTATTACTTTTCTTATGGGTTCTATAAGTGGAACCATATAAAGAAGGATTATTACAGTTTCTGCATAGTTCTTTTCATCAGTTTTGATTTCGGGTGGACATTTAAACGAATCCACTGACAGACGGACTTTATCAGCTTGAAGACTCCATACATCCATAAGAAAAAAGCAGTATAATTTACGAGGTACTATATAATGACTGTGAGGTCAAGTATACAGGTCATACAAGGAGATCAGGATAATTTATGTGATGGGAACATAGGAATTTAGCTAGATCTAGTATGAGAGACCCTGCTAGCTTGCCTAATTTCGTAAAAAGCTCAGTTAATTTAATGCGCACAGTGGGATGGGATAAATGTAGAATTATTAAAAGTAATACGTTTGAGTAAGTGCGTCGGTGGCATAGTGGTTAGGACGCTCGCCGACCATGCACATGGTCCGGGGTTCGATCCCCGTCCGACGCACTCCTTCACCTCGCTAAGCCAGAAATAATACTGGTGAAGAGGAAAGGTTGGGCATGAGGCTAGCAACCCCATCCTGTAAAATAAACACTGCTACAGAAAATTCGTGCCACTAGCTTGAAGCCTTATGTTCCACTGGGGAACGTGAAGGAAAAAAATACATTTGAGTGGAGAAGGAGAGGAAGGCTATTCAAGGGATCTTATTCATCCAATTGATAACCGCTTATTATAATATGAAAAATCTCCAGACATATGGAAACGGGAATGATAAAAATTAAGTTAGGAGGTTGCGTCGATATACTAGTATGAGGGTCGGGAATAATTTATGCCCGTATCTCCACCTAGTGTATTTTGTCACGTAAAGTTGCTTAATGCAGTATTATATTCCACCATAGTACCAGAAGTCTTCTCTTTCATTAGTGATGAATAGGTTTTCGCAAATAAGTGACTGCATAGTGTTCCCCTATCTTGGTACCAGTTATCCAATCAAGTCACTGCTTCTTAACACTGGGACCAGCCTGCCGACTAATCTGACTCATGAACAATAAACCATGAAGGGACTAATTTTTAAATGTACTATGAATGTTCAACAAGGAATACTATAAATAATTTGATGGTGTGGCTATGGATACCCCATTGGATTCAGTCCTAGCTGAGTGAGAGAATGGACCAGTGAAAGGAATAAATAACTAGTTGGAATGGTACTATCCATTTACGGGTGATATATTTCTGATAATCAAAAACGAAAATGGAGCAACGAACATCTTCGACAAGTTCAATAATGTAGATTCAGGTATAAACTTTACCATAGAGAAAGAAATTAGTGATAGTATCTTATTCCTAGACGTCTTCCTGACCATGAAAGAGGATTGTGCACTAAGAAGGAGTGTGTATAAGAAACCTACAATGACAGATCGGTATACCCAATTTTGAGTTTTGCACCTTTTAAATATAAACGGAACTTGGTAAAGTATTTGATTCGTAGAGCTAGGGTAACCTGCTCAAACGACACTCTAATTGAAGAGCTTACAAAAATCAGAGAATTACATAGTAAAAATGGTTTTCCAAATGAACACACAGAGAAAAATATGAATTTACCATCGAAGAAAGTCAGTAGGGCAACGGCTCCAAAGAAACCATTGTTCACTAAACCCGAATTCTTAGGTAATAAAATCAGAGAAATAGTAACGCAGAACCTGAGGAATTCAGTCAAAAAAGCATTTAACACAGAAGAGGTACATTTCCTCTTCATTACCACCCCGTACTTTCGAGAAATAAAGACAAACAACCTAATTTCGCCTTCTCTGGTTGTATTACCAGTTGAACTGAAACTGAGGAGCCAGGTACATTGGGTGTACAATTAGACAGGTTCATCATCATAGTATTTTCGAATATCATTGTGCATTTTAAAACAAGGGATAAACATGATCCCTTCGTAGCTCTATTTTAGCACATCTGAGAATAAAATTGATGTTAATGCAGCATTTAAACTTATTTATCTCATTCTAACTATTCATAATTTTGCTTGACGAGTTCGTCTTCTACATACAACAGCTGAAGTCATCGGAATCCACCTGAAGAAGCCAAACCTGTGTGTGCAGAAGAAATTCGTACAGTCACTTCCCTTGTCTTGGTCATTGTTACGTGAATGTATAAACCTGATTATTTCTCTCTCCCCCTAAGCCTTTTAATAATTATCATTGTCGAAATTATTTTTTGACTCTATCTTTATTTGCTAATTACGTAATCAACTTGAACATTCGATTGTCTCTTAATTACTCTTCGCTTTTCCAAAATTATGCATTATGCAATCCACTCATTGGAACCATTTCTACTCTTTAATTATGTATATTAATTTTCATCCTTAATCATCACTCCCCACCCGTGACATGTTGACACTGACTAATTATCGTTAGCAAACATATCGCCACCTGATCAGTAAAATGTTATGTATTGTATTAAAAATGCTATATATATGTATATTAGATTAGAACTAGAGATGAGGAACTAATTGAAAAGTACATATTTCCTCACTCAATCCTTTTGATTTCTAAATGGGGATTTTTCCCCACACTATACAAACAACCATTCTTCATCCTCTTCTTATCTGGATGCAGACTGAGTAAAACAACATTTCAGTAGTCCACATTTGTGTAGTGAACTGTATATATTTACTTTTCAGGAATGTAATAAGAAATTCTCTTATCTTCTGCTAATAGAACGCTTATAGGTTTGGCAGCCTCATAAGAATCCAATATTGCAACAGTACGACTGGATTAGCATGACAGTTTCAACGATACGTTTCACTTCACGTTTATCAGTGATGTTTAACAGTAAAATATACGGCACATGTTTCGCCCTATTTGGGACTTGTCAGCAACCCAGTGAGTTAATGTTCCTGTGAGGATTCCCTTCTAAATAACACTCACTAAGAGTGTTTAGCCCTTATCGATATTGAGAAAATCACAAATTTCTTAGTGTAACAATTGATAGCCGTTGCAGATGAGATGGCCGTTATTTCTCAGTGACCTCGTGGTTAGCGTTTTGGAGTCTGAGTCACAATGGGCACACCCAAACTATATATAGGATGAAACTTATTGCTACTAGCCATGTGTAATGAAAATGATAAGAGCTGAAACAAATTATGTGTGTCCGTTATAACCCCAATATCATAAGGCTTCCTCAATAATCAATATGGAATCACGTCTGAATTAATTATTATAATATTATCATTGTTTCCTTTAATTCCTAGACGAACATAGGGCTTCAGCCGTGCGTCTCCATTGCCTTCAGTTCTCTGCTAGAGTCTTCACCTGGCTCCATGTCTGCCCACATGCTTTCATCTCCTCTTCACATGACCTCCTCCAAGTCACCCTTGCACTGACGACCAACTCGCCGCTTCCCTTTCGGGTTCCACTCGAGCAATGGCTTGTCTAGTGATGTCACTTGATGGTTTCATCAGAGTATGGCCAATCCATCTCCATTTCTTCCTGCATATTTGTTTCACAATCGGTTCCTGGTTGGTTCGTTCCCAAAGATCCCTGTTGCTGATCTTTTCTGGCCGGCCATCTGATCTTGAGTAGTATTGAGCGAAGACAGTTGGCTGTTAATGAAGGTCTGTAGTTTGTTTGAGATGCTCTTTATGACGCGCCAAGTATCTGATCCGTATAGTAAGTATCACTGACTTCACATTGGAGTTGAAAATCCGGATCTTATTTTTGATGCTGAGTGCTGTTGACCTCCACACAGACTTGAGAGTAATGAAAGCTTGTCTTGCTTTTCCGATTCTTGCTTTGATATCCTCGTCAGTTCCGTCTGTATTTGAAACGATGCTTCCCAGGTAGGTAGGTGGTAAAGGAGGTAGTTTCTTTCAG